GTTGGCCAGTTCCTGCTGCTGGCAATCCGGCCAGCATGAACTCTGCCCCTGTCTCACCCTCCTCGCGGCTGTCCCTGGGAAAGATCCCTGCATGCTGCCCCTGTCATGCCTCCACCGCGTGGCTGTAAACGGCCAGTTACAGTTATGTAAAGGAACAGGTCATCAGTCCCAATACTAACATTCCCCTAATTCAAAGCAGGTCACCATGAGTGATATCACTCTGGTGAGGATTTCGGAGACAGAGAAAGACCGCATGCTGTGTGAATGCCAGCAAGCACCAGGGTCATATGCCACCATGCTTTGCGAGGCAATGATCCCGGAGTACTTGCTGCTAGCCTGGCGCGGAAAAGTTTCCTATCATGGAGGACGCAATAGGGCGGCTCTCCCCAGGAACCTGATGCAAAGGTTTTCACAATACCTCCAGGAGACCTTTGTGGAGATGTCCCAGGAGGATTTCTGCTTTATCCCCGGACATATTGACAGAATTTTCCAGTAGCCGCACTGGCAAGGACTAGAAACTAAAGTGCTTAGGGCAAACTAATCCTGAGAAACCCATTGTTAAGATACCATTCCTATTCTGTTCAAAATAAATGTTTAAAACACTTACCTACTGATGTTCCCCTTGATTCACGGCCTGGGTTACTGCATTGGGAGGGTTGGTAGGGGATCTCCGTGAGGGTGATGAAGAGATCCTGGCTGTCGGGGAAATCAGCGTTGAAAGCGCTGTCGACTGCCTCGTCCTCCTCATCTCCTTCCTCATCTTCCCCGTCCGCGAACATCTCCGAGGAAGCGGCCGTCGACAATACCTCATTGTCAGAGTCCACGGACAGTGGTGGGGTAGTGGTGGCGGCCGCACCTAGAATGGAATGCAGTGCCTCGTAGAAACGGCATGTCTGGGGCTGGGATCCGGAGCATCCGTTTGATTCTTTGGTCTTCTGGTACCCTTGTCTCAGCTTCTTGATTTTCACGCGGCACTGCGTTGCATCCCGGCTGTATCCTCTCTCCGTCATGGCTTTGGAGATCTTCTCGTAGATCTTCGCATTCCATTTTTTCGATCGCAGCTCCAAAAGCACGGACTCATCGCCCCACACAGCGATCAGATCCAAGACTTCCCAATCAGTCCATGCTGGGGCCCTCTTTCTATTCTGCGATTGCATGGTCACCTCTGCTGGAGAGCTCTGCATCGTTGCCAGTGCTGCTGAGCTCGCCACGATGTCCAAACAGGAAATGAGATTCAAACTGGCTAGACAGGAAAAGGAATTCAAATTTTCTCGGGGCTTTTCCTGTGTGGCTGGTCAGAGCATCCGAGCTCGGACTGCTGTCCAGAGCGTCAACAGAGTGGTGCACTGTGGGATAGCTCCCAGAGCTATTAGCGTCGAATTCCATCCACACCTACCCTAATTTGACATGGCCATGTCGAATTTAGCGCTACTCCCCTCATTGGGGAGGAGTACAGAAATCGATTTAAAGAGACCTCTATGTCGAAATAAATAGCTTCATTGTGTGGACGGGTGCAGGGTTAATTCGAGTTAATGCTGCTAAATTCAATATAACCTGCTAGTGTAGACCAGGCCTCAGTATCTCCTCACCTGTCTTCCATACCTGCCCCTCTAAACCCCTCCCCTATCCCTTTCATCTACCTTCTCTTTCTATTTAGCTGATCCACTCCTAAGCCCACCCCTCATATTGTTCACTCTGCTTGTGTGTTCTACCCTTTTTACTACTTTATACAGTGCCTCTCACAATGGAGCCCCATTCTTGGTTGGTCCTTAGGCACTATTGTAACAAGCATAACAACAACAACAAGAGTAGAAGCAGATCCATTGCACTGAATCATTATTTGGACTCTGTCCAGAGGTCAGCTCCTTTAAACTGAAGAGAGCCTGACAGCAGACATGATCAACTCAGGCACCAACATAATCATTTTGTTGGGGACATCAGAACCAGATCAATGAACAGAGAAAGTGAAGGATACTGGTGCTCTGGAAAAAGTGTGCATGAAATCAAAGAAGGGTCTGATCAGTGATGGGCTATGTGAAGACTTGAATAGGTTACTTTCAGGGTCTGTGAGATACTCTGTCTCAAAACAAAATTGGAATGGTTTTCAGGATGCTTGAAGCACCAACCTCAGGTTTGTAGGGACTGAGGGCTGTAAATATTTTACTTCCACCATTCTAAACAAAAAAACCCCACTCACCTTCAATACAATGTTTAAAAAAAATGCATTCAGTTTTTACTGACCTGTATCTCATATGTTAAGGCCAATTCTATCAACTGGCCGAAATACTGTGCGACTGTGATTAATGTTTCATTAATACAAGATTTCATGGACTGTAATGTCCGTTCGTCTTCAGTTTGTATGCACCTGGAAAGAATGGAAAGGAAACGAATGAGAAAAATACACACATTAGGCACCACCTTTATCCAGCTGATTGAGCCAACCAAGCACTTTATGTTGCACAAATGTTAATAATGGAGATTCAACTGTTCAAATCAAGGTGCAGCCTTATTATAGTTAACGTCAGAAGAGGCATTTAGCAAAGTCTTGTCTGTCGAAGGTAAGGAAGAAGGCAAATGATAATATTATAAATTAATATCTTACAGGTTCACAATGCATTTCATAGACTGTCTGACAAATTCTGTTTTCAAGTACACTGGGATATATCCAGAGTAACGCCTCCCACTGTTGACTAAACCTTATTGTTGCTGTGCATCAAATGGCTGCTGCGATCCACCCTGAGGTGTCTGCATTTCAGTTGTAGGTACGTACATCCTCTATTTGCTGAGTCAATTTTTTTCACAATAAGTTTAATTTCCCATATTTTAAATGGGAGCAGGATCTAGGCCCTAATAAGTATGAGTCAAGTTGTCGGTGTCAATGGAGTTAGTCTGGGTTTAAAATGGTGTACCTGAGAGCAGAAATTAGCCCTCTATACACACAGAGCACTTATCACTACGGACATACAGCAACCTCAAGGACTGAATGCAACAGCCATTTTGTGTCCAACAACACTTGTCTACAGTTTTGATGAGGGAAGATGGAGAATAACTTTTACACATACAAGGAGAATTTAGGTAGCCAAATTATTGTTAAACAATAACGATGTTCTCTATGCTAACAATAAGAAATATTATCCAAAAATTTGGGGCAGGATTACCAGGGTTAACATCCTTACTCTTGTCTAATATGTCATTAGATATTAGAACAGCCACAAACAGTCAGGGCCTCAGTTTTGTATCAAATCTAAAAGATTGCACCTCCATTTGTACAGTTCCTCCTAGCACTGTGAAGGTGCATTATTTTCATACAGACAAAGACCAGAGTGAGATCTACAGATCATGTGCACAACTTCTTAGAGCACTTTAGCTGTCTTTGGATATCTTTTATCTGAGTATTACTGACAAGGCCCAACTCTGCTTATTTTATTAAATCTGATGGGAATAGGGTTGACAACTTTCTAATTGCACAAAACCAAACACCCTCGCCCGGCCCTTCCCCGAGGCCCTGCCCCCTGCTCACGCCATCCCCCCATTCCTCTGTCACTTGCTTTCCCCACCCTCACTCACTTTCACTGGGCCGGGACAGGTGGTTGGGGTGCGGGAGGTGGTGAGGGCTCTGGCTGGGGGTGCAGGCTCTGGAGTGGGGCCAGAAATGAGGGGTTTGAGGTGCAGGAGGTGGCTCATGGCTGGGGCAGGGGATTGGGGTGCAGAATGGGGTGTGGGCTCCAGTTGGGGGTGTGGGCTCTGGGATGGGGCTGGATATGAAGGGTTTGAGGTGCAGGAGGGAGCTTGGGATTAGGGTGCAGAAGGGGGTGTGGGCTCTGGGATGGGGCAGGAAATGAGTGGTTTGAGGTCCAGGAGGGGGCTGGGGCAGGGCATTGGGGTGCAGGGTCTTGGAGGGAGTTAGGGTGTGGGAGGGGGTTCCGACCTGGGGGAAGGAGCTGGGGTGCAGGAGGGGGTGCAGGTCTGGAAGCAGCCGGCAGACAGGCCAGGGGGGTTATATAATATTCCCCCACAAAAAACTCATTCACTTGAATTAAGATTGGTAGATCATATATGCAACCAACAAAACCCAGAAAAAGCAAAGCAATAAACAGTTCGGTCATTCAACATCCCCGTTTCCACTCCCTTCAGTATGGGAGCATTCGGGGCTGGGCCTTTCAACAGTCAGTGTCTTTTCCAGCTTCCCCCTCGCTGGAGGTGAAGGCTCTTGTTGTATTGTTCTTTCGGAGTGAGTAAGGGAGCCCAGGGGCAGCTACACCCAACACCTTGGGGAGCCAAGCCGCTGCCTCCCCGACCACTTCCTACTTTGGTCTCCTTCAACTTCCCAGAGTAAATCACTCCAATCAAGTCTCTGACCCACACACTCTGTCCCCTGTTTCTCCTTTGTGCGTTTGCACAGATCTGTGTTGTCAGATCCCAGGTAGTGAGCTCCTGGGAAGTCCTTTCCACTCAGATCAGCCGTCTGCTCCCTTCCACTGCCTGACTCTGAGCTGCTCTGCTCCCCTTTTTAAAGCCCTGCCTCCAGCTTGTACAGGCCCTGCAGATATGTCTGGGCAGGGCTGCCTGGGCCCCTAAGCTGTTCCTTAATCCCTTGTTCTGCAGTGTGGGGTTTGTCTGCCCCATCAGAGTGTGCTCTAGGACACACATGAAGAACAACAACGTTCAAGAAACACATTTTCTATTTTCTGGTAATTATACATTATGTTTTTTTTCCTAAAGATGCCCCAAGATGAGTGACAGACTCAGTGTTTAAAGTAAATCAAATGAGAGTATTGATTGACACGACTGTGCAAACAAGGGAAGTTCTGTTAGAATCAGGGCATCAGCATGAGAAGAATTCTTTCACAACTCTCACTTTAACAATGTTGTATAGTGCTTATATCAGTGACTCTAATCTAACTAATGCAAGTGAATGCATATCTGTGCTTAGGGAACAGACTAACAAAAAACTTGCAGCAGTACATGAACATGTGGTATTATTGTTTTCAAACATGAACCAGGACTGCAGATTTCAAACTTAGCTTGAAATCCTGGTCCCACTGAAGTTAATGGTAGTTTTGTTATTGATTTCAATAGAGCAAGTTTTTCACCCTCAGTGCCTAAAGCTCTGAGGATGTAAAGTATCACAATACCCTAGCATTGATCCTTGTGCTATGCCAAGTTCCCTGTTCAACAACAGATCCTAATGAAAGATCAGGGTCTAAATATGGATATAACTAAGTACCTAACTTAAGGCACTGATGGCCCAATAATCAGAGGGCATTTTAATGAAAGCTGCACATGCTCAAACAAACGTTCAAAGAGTGTTAGTTGGATTTGCCTCCCTCATTAAAATTGCCACAGCTTGTAACCAATAATTAGGATGCAAAACTGACTATCCAGTTCAGGAAATTTAACTTACCTTTCCGTGACTGTTGTAAATTCTGAACATTTTTCAATTAAAAGTTTTTCAAACTGCGGGGGAGGGAAAAAGAGGCAAAAATGTGTTTGAAATAATGCATCCAAGCTATATCTTCTTTCAATAAAAGAAAAACACTTGATTACAGTAATTAGAAATAGTCAAGAAGATATTTTGTGAACACCAATTTTTTTAATTTCCCTTTGTATTGGCATCTGTGGTTAATTGTAATAGAGATAAAAACTGAAGCTAAGCCAGTCCCAGTCCCATAAGAACATTTTCTACATCTTAACTGAAAATAAGACTCAATTCCAGTAGTCCACATGGAGCGAACTACTCAACATAAATAAAGGTGGCAGAATCAGGCCCATAAAAACACTGATCCAAACATAAAACATGTTTGTTTACACACCCCAGGGGGATTGGATGGTTCTGTGATATGGAGTCTCTCACTGTTCAGATGATTTGCCATTATTGTAACAAAAAACAAAAAAATACAAAGATTGCCCTCGCCAGATCTATCAGCTCCCGAATTCTAAACATAGTTTATAAATTCCAATTGACAAACAAATCAATATTGAAGAAATAATCCTACCTGGTGCATTTCTTCTGAGGAATTTCTAGTGACGGTATTATATTCATTTATCATTGAATGTACGTGACAATTGACTCTTACTGTCATGCTGTGAACTCTCTGCCATCTGTTCTTCTCTAGTTTTTGAGCAATCCTGGTCAACTCCGTGCTTATGATCCATGCTCTTTTTAACAATAACTGCAAGTTATCATATGCACTATGTTGTGATGAAAGGATAAGTTCACTCTGTGCATCTTCCTCCGTGCTGATTGGTTTGGACTGAAGAATACACATACATTCACAATCCGTCATCAACTTCAAGTCCTCCATCCAACGCTGTACAGAATCCACCTGAATTAAGTGCATGCTAAAGTGTAGTAAAAAAAGAAAACAATCAGATGAAAGTTCTGAATCAATTTAGACAGCCTTCATGAATAGAATATGGGGATAAAACTTCCCATAAGGATGGATCTAAAAAAAATATATATCAACTAAATGAAGAATTAACTTGGCTGCATTATGAAAGTGACATGCTTTATATTCCAAATAGAGATTTTGACCACCTATAAACCATTTCCACATTAGAGACCTATAGATCTCTAAAGGAGACTATGCTTTGCCTATAGACGGGCATTAGCTGAAATCACTAGTGTATACTATTCTATTATAGTGGCTGAAATTAAGATTAGAGTCAAAAAGTTACTTTATTTTATTAGTGAAATAACGGACAAGCAGTGGCCTTCTCAGAAGTGAAACCACTAGGCTGATACAGACCAATACAAGTCCATACTTGTCTTATAGCAAGTAAGAGCTGTTAGACTCCCAATCTTCATGAGACCTAAATACACACAAAACAAAGTTTGGGAGATGGGGGATGAGAAATACATTACTTAGAACACTAAGATCAAAAGTAAATTTGTGGAGAAGCCAGATTTAGAAGATGTATAAAAATAGAGCCCAGTCCTATGAGATGCTTAGCTCTTCCTAAGAAGGGGTAAACACCCTCAATTCCGATTAGTGGCGCTCTGCACCTCTCTGATTCAAGGATACAATTAGGAGCAATGAAAATCAAATATTGGAGACATCTGCGAAAAGATATTGAAATACAAATATAATGAGAAGAATTTAAATGGATTAGCTGTGCTGAAAAGTATCACTGAAGAGATGTAATATGCCAGCTAAGTTTTGTATCTTATTTTTGTTTTTGCATTTTCACCTACTTTTTACTATGATAAAACATCTGTCAGTCATTCGCTCTGAAGTGTTTTGTCAGACATGTATTTTTCAGCTAACAAAAGCCTTGCAACTAATACTAGTTTATGTCAAATATAACACAGCAACTGAGTACTCCAATGTTCCACGTAAACTGAAGAAAGCCGTCTAGAAATAACACCAAAGGTTGCTTTGGAAGACAACTTCAAGTTAGATAACAGACAACTAAATAAATGTATAGAATTATCAAATTTCACCTCAGATACTGGAAGACATATGTTGCACACACACACACAGTGCCTATGAAGAAAATTAAGGAAAATGTGACAGTTTAAGTGTTCCTCAGAACTATAAACTTTGTGCCTCATGGGTTGCATCTTCAGACTCCCCCACTAGAGGAAAGGGCATTTTCACGTAAGTTTAGATAAAGGATGCTTAGTCAGGGCATTCAGAACAAGATTTAGGTCTCAGGAGGATTTCTCCCCATTGCTGTAGAGTTGAGAAGCAAGGCAGCCACCACAGTATCAGAAGAGGGCTTTTTGTAGAGCCCTTGAGGTTAAACAACAGCCTCATACCACCAATAAACTCAACATTGAGAATGAAACATACTCCTTTTCAGTGGTTTTGTTTTCTCATTGCTCCAAGCAGAAGGTTTGCTAAAGCCTTCTTGCAGGTGGGAGAGGCAAATTAATCTGGCTGGGTCTTCAAAGGTGTGAACATTAACAACCTGCCTTAATTGACAGGTCTGTTTCTGCCTCCAGTAACAGCAGGTGTAAGACCCATTGTAATGAATATGTGGACTTTCCTACTAATAAATAAAAAACCTTGATCTAAAAAACCGAACAGCTCAAGGTGAGAGGTGTTAAGTCTAAAGGAAACATTGTAGATAAAGTAAAAATAAACATGGATCATATGTGGAATGTATGCTGCTTAGAAATTGAAGCAGTCTGTCCTACCTCCCCTCACAAAATTGTATACATTTTGCATAAAAATACACAATTCTTGGTAGCTGAATCCTATTTTAGTAGTATTTGGCTATATACACCCATCTAAAATTAGATCCTTTCAAAAAGGCTCATAGTGGAAACTTATAAATTAAAACAAATACTATGGTGACTTTTATGCATTTCAGAAATATGTCTTCTTAAGAGCACTGATGGACTCTCAGTAGAGGCAGAAATCTCCTGGTAATGAGAACAGCATGGAGGCCACAGGATGTAATAGTTACAGAACAAAATAATGGAAGCCAGCCATAGCATCTTGTAAAACGATCTGAACCACGGTCGATTCACTCTGTGAGTCCTTGGTGAAGCTACTTCACTTTGTGCATCAGTGAACTCAGTAGTATGATAGAGGCAGACACATGGCTTACAATTAAAACAAGTCATTTTACACCCTGGCCAAGCTTTCCTGGGCAAACAAATTACTGATCCAAAAATATTGGCCTGTTAAATTATTAATTTACAGTTTTGAATGTCACCAGTGTTTTAAAATCATTTGTTATTGTATTGAGCATGCTACTGCACAGAGTAGAGACTTGGCCACCAACAGTAACTAACAAAAAGAGACTGGAGGCTGCCCATCACAGATGGATGAGGAAGATACTACACAGTCCATTGAAAGTCAAAATAATAAATGTGAGAGTACGAGCTGGCAGAGCAGGACATATTAGAAAATATCAAAGAAAGAATGTTCAGGTGGCTGGGACATGTACACTGTATGGAAGATGAGAGAGATGCTAAGCAAGCATTGCATTGGGATGCCAGGGATGAAAGAGAAAGCAAGGAAGGCCAAAAAGAATTGGTTGAAGACAGTGGCAGAGGATAGTGTATATAGTGGCATCACCTGGGGAAAAGTATCACAGCTATCGAGGGACTGTGATCAATGGAGGACCTGTACTGCCCAATGTGTAAGTGGCATAGGAGGAACGAATGTCTAAGGATTGTTTTAAAAGAGATTGCCTTCTTCAAATCTCCTGTCTGGAGATGTTTCTGAAAGGTTCCCACAATGAAATTGATCCTGGTGCCACTGTACTCTATCTATGGTAACACATTGACTGGCTTCAATTGAAACAGGATCAGGCCCTACATTTAATGGGTATGACTGATGTACCACAAGTGCTGTACCATTATATATTAGTATAACTAAGTTGTATACACATCAAAATACTTGATGAATTATTATGAACAAAATATTTTAAAATGCAAATTAAAAACAACTGCTTCTTTCACTAATGACCAGGTCAGGAGGTTAATGCTTCTGTATGAGTCATGAAATAAACCTGAAGGGCTTCTATGTGATCTGGAAAAATGGTTGAGAGAGTTTATATGGAGGCAATGGAAACTGAAATAAAAGATACCTACACAGTTTTGTGGTAGCAGTGTGTGTGTGGATTGAGCACAAACGTGGGGGTCCCTTGATTTTACATGTAGACTGGAAGCACTGCGTGTTAAGGGGCTTTCCATCTACTTCACTATATATGGCCTGGACTAATGCACATGCAAGAACAGAAAACATAAATCGATAAGGGCCAGAGTCTATTCCTCATATCAAACTATATCGTACTCTCATCTCACTGAGGTACAATGGGATTGCTATTGTTCAAAGGCCTGTACTGTAAGTTGACCAAGGCAACAAGAGTCCAACTCAGCCTGCTACATAAGATTGTTTATGAAATTCAGCAAAAATTGGAGATGAATCTGATATAAACAGAATTGTTTAGGCTAAAAGCAGTGGGATAAGGGGTCCTCGAGGCTACTGGTAAAGTCACGGGTTGTTACAACAGTGAGCTAAAAGATTCTAGAAGTGGAATTAAATGTTTACATTTGAAATTACCAAAATGGGTTTAGACTGGTGAATGCAAATGGCTTGAGACTGCCACACCTTTCTTGGACATTGTCTGTGGGAACAAGTGGACTGAAAAGAGTGAGCTTCACCATTATGATCTGCCTGAGGAAAGGTTTCCTGGTGTCTGGTTTCCATTGGCAACCCTGCTGTCTCCTGGAACCCCAGGATCCACTATTATATCATTGGGCCTTCACTGTCCTGATCAATAGATATGACTCTAGCAGTATCCCAATGCAAGAGGGCAAGGGGCTCACTGATGTCGGTGAGTAAGTTTCAGCTGGCCTGACCAGTTCAGTGTATCCCAACTTACTAATGACACCTTCTAGATACAGTTAGCAATGTATTGATCATTAATATTATTGGGTGGTGTATGTATGAAGCTCAAATTCAAGATTACAGCTATATTGGAAATTAGGTTATCAAAGTGTATCTGCCAGACAGGGCTGAAGGTACTCCACCCTAAACAAAGGAATGTGGTTCTGTCACCTGAAAAGGTATTTCCAGTGTACAATGAGACAATGGGAATGCAATTTCAATAGAAGGTAAACAGGACCATCAAGCCAACAAGGGGAAGAGACAACCACTCAGCATCACCACAGGGGGAGGAGATTGCAGAAACAAATAATTTGCATTTTAGCGAACACCAGCAGGGAAGAAACCTGCATGGAACTCCCTGCACCACCAGACTCCATGTCACCTTCCTCACAGCTTCCACAAACTTTATTTTGGGGGGTAACCTTAAGACGAATACATGTGAAAGGTTCACCAGACTATAAAAGAAAGGGGCAGAGAACCACAAGTTACATTTCACTTGAGGCAACAAAAGAACTGAGCACTTCGGTCTTTGTGGGAGATCCTGACCAGAGAGGTGGTCAGCCATCTAGCTGGCAGGTAGACTGGTAAGGAAATTAGCTTGAACAAAGGCTATAGCTTGCTTTGTTAAGTCTTAGTCTCTAGGAAACATTTTCAATTTTATTTGCATGTAATCATTTCTAACTCTTTTATACTTCAATTCACTTAAAATCCCATCTCCTTTTGTTAAGGAACTTGTTTTAATCTAAAGCAACCTAGTGCTGTGCTTGATTTAAAGTGAATGTTAACGCCAATTAATGTGACAAGCTGCTGAGTATTGAATCTTTAAAGCAACAAACGAACCTTAATCTCTCTCTGAATGGTCTAGGAGAGGGCTACATTGCAGTGTACATGGTTTTGTAACATTTGGGATGGGGGCATTGGGGTCATCTTGCCAGGTGTAACAAGCAGGCTGCTGGAATCAGAATTGTTGAGGCAGAGCTACTTAAAAGGTAA